CATATGACCCCACAATCCCCCTACTGGGAATATATCCTGAAGAACTCAAATCACTCTATAAAAAAGATACCTGTACACGTATGTTTATCGCAGCGTTGTTCACAATAGCAAGAACCTGGAAGCAACCATGCTGCCCATCAAAAGAGGACTGGATTTTTAAAATGTGGTACATATACACGATGGAATACTACACAGCCATAAAAAAGAACAAAATCTTGAATTTTGCAGCAACCTGGATGGAACTAGAGTCAATAATACTGAGTGACCTCTCACAGAAACAAAGATACAAGTATCACATGTTCTCACTCATATAATGGACCTTGAACATCCAATGTAATAATATAAGAAAATGACTGACAGTAGTGGGAAACTATGGGGGGGGAGATGGGATTAACGGTAGCAAATATCTGTCTGGGGACGGGGAAACACCTCTTATCAACAGGGTGCCTGAATGAAACGTATTTGTATACCTAACTCTTAACTGTACCCCACAACATAATAATAAAAAATATTGATTAAAAATTTTTTTTAAAACTGCCATAAAATTATAGCAAATCCAGTAGCCTTTAAAGGAAAACAATAAGCCTGCCTTTGTAGTTCAGTGTGTTAAAACAAAAGGAGGAAAAAAAAATTATCCGAATTAATGCGGGAAAGAAGTTTTGGCTGATACAACACTCATTCAAATTAAGAATTAAGGGGAACAATTTTAAACCTGATAAAAGGAATCTACTAAAAACCCTAGAGCAAACCTTAAATGTAGTGATAAATTATTAAAAGCGGGCTCCTCAAAATCATAACCAAGATGAGGAAGCTCACCGTGACCTTTTCTATTCCATACTGTACTGGAGATCCTAAACAATTAGAGAAAAAAAATGATGCATGAGAATTATAAAGGGACAAAACTGCCATACTTTGCATATAACATGACTGTCTTCATCAAAAATCCAAGGGATGAATACTAGAATACAGAATGAATACTAGAGTTCAGCAGGGTTGAAGATCAATTCCTATATTAATATAGATGTAGCATCAAAATGCAAAAATCAGTAATGCTCCCACACATGTAACCTATTAGAAAATGTAATAGGGGAAGCTACTTATTATAGCCACAAAAACTATTCACCTTGAAACACAATATATATGCAAGACTTTTATGTAGTAAAATGATTAATTATTAAAGGACAAAACCCTATGTAAATGAAGATGTATCATATTCGTGGAAGGTAAGATTCAACAGCATAAAGATGTCAATTCCCTGCAAATTAATCTATAAATCCAAAGTAATTGGGATTACAAGAGGGGGCTTGCCCTACCAATGACCACGTAATCGTATTGTTTCGCTCTCTGGTTTTATAATACAGGCATGTAGCTTGGAAAATCTATCCACTTGAACTATTAGCATCTTCCTTAGTCTGTCTTCTCAAATAGTGATTACTTCCTCCAACTATCTGACAGGAGCTGAATTGCACAAGAGTCTGGATTGAGTCCCTGAGAAGTGCTATTCTACCATTTGAAGAGATATCCCAATATGTTTAACAACAAGACAACAGAAGGTAAAATAGATACCATACTGTTATGAATTCATATTCTTTCTTATGGGGTTGGCCAGACATTTTACTCATATACATGACACAGAAGTGATCTAGAAGATTTAGGCAGACCAGTGACCATACTACTCTGTCCATATATGCCTCAGATGTGCATACCTCCAGAGTACAGATAACATACAAGTAACTAGTCACCTTAACCATAAAACAACTCCAGCTGGAATAGAATAACAGTTCCTGTAGATTTCTCACTTGAAGCAGGACTATATCCCTAACAATGCACCAGAGCCATATACTCTCAAATAACTAGTTAAATCAACCTACTCAATGCTGGTATTTAATACTACCCAGTTAATGGTAATAAAAACAACCGTTTTTGGTTTGGGCACAGTTGATAGTGAACTGTATATGGACAACAGATTAAGTTACTTAAGTATATACACTTTTGAACTGGGAAATAGGCCAATTTAAATGATCAGAGAGAAGAGGATGATTACGTTCCTGTTTGCTGTGGCAAATTGGCTTGTGTCTAGTTCACCTAAAAACTGTATACTTCTGTATTAATTTTAAATATGTTTTCATCTTAAATATAGATCATATGATACTGTATGCTTAACTCTCTGAACTGTCAGACTGTTTTCCAAATCTTAAATTAGTTACTTTTTATTAGGTTAAAAAGAAAGGAAGTTGTTTAAACATACTTTTCTGTAAGGGTGTATAAACAATGACAATTAAACAGGCAAGGTCCTGCCCTTAGGAACGTACAGTTCAGTGGAGAAGAGAGACAATTTAAAAGTATACTCTGCTGGGCACACTGGTTCACGCCTGTGATCCCAGCACTTTGGGAGGCTGAGTTGGGAGGATCGCTTGAGGCCAGGAGTTTGAGATCGGCCTGGAGAACTTGGCGTGACCTCACCTCTACAGTAAATTTTTAAAATTAGCAGGGTGTGGTGTGCGCGCCTGTAGTTCCAGCTACTCAGAAGGCTGAGGCAGAAGGATCACCTGAACCCAGGAGGTCAAGGCTGCAGTGAGCTAGTGATCGTGCCACTGCACTCCCGCCAGGGTGACAGAATGAGGTCCACACTCACAAAAGAAAACTCACAAATGAATTTATGCTAATTAGAAAAATAAATGAGAGAAAGAGAAACAGAGACAGAGAGAGGGAGCACAAGAGCAAATGAAAAGGAAAGCAGGAGCCAGATCTGCAAAAGCTTTTGAAGTGCAACAGGAAACCTCTGAAGAGTTTTAAGCACAGAAATGACAGGACCAAATAAAAAGATTACTCTGGCTGCTGTGTAAAAACTGGAGGATGAGGGTTAGAATGAGCCAAGAATGAAAGCACTGTTGTCAGGATAGCTGTGATTACACTGCGAAGAGATAAGACAAGGACATTCTCCTTACTCCACCAAAAGTGGGTGAGAAAGGTAATTCTGGTTGGACTGAAAAACACGCTTTCACTTTGGAAACCCAGCCTAAGGGAAATGCACAAAACGTACACTCTATGGACCCGAAATTAAGCGAAACAATCTGATTGGAAACTGAACCATAAGTGGCAACTCCTGCTATCCAAATCACTTCCAACATCATCTTGCTGACAAACACGTTTTCACCACTTCAAACACCTTCCGAGACGCAGGCGAGGGCCTCCGGGGAAGAAAAGGGGTAAAGAGCAGGTGAGCACGATGAGGAGGGCACGCCGGACAGCGAGTAGTCCCGAAGACCCACCTCCAGAAAAAGAACTTGCAAGCAGTGCTTTCGTTTATGAAAGAAAGAAGGAAAAGCTCAGCAGCCGCGCTTCTTACCTATATTCTTCCTCCTTGGCGAGGAGGTCCGGCCGAGGCGTACCCGGTAGCGGCGCGCGTGGCGGGAGCGGAGTCCCGGGAACGCTGCGTCTCTGTAAAAGAGACAGAGACTTTCAGACCCGAGATCAAAGGAGTTTCGGCGTCCTAGTGGCCCGGAGGCCCACCACCACCCAGGAGTCTGGAGTTCAACTGACCGTGCGTCCAAGGTTTCGCCCCGCCATCTTTCGCGACCACGACGCGGTTACCGAGGCAACGAAGCAACTTCCCGCGAGAGTTTCCACATCCCGGGCAGCCTCCTGCCGCCGCCCCCCCCTTCTTCCCACGCCCGGGTTATTTTGCCAAAAGCAGCATGAAGGCTGAACTGTGGACGTGCTGGCTGTTCCCACGACTCTGCGTTGCCTCCGGAGCCCAGGAAGCCGTCCTAGTGCTTTGACTTATGGCCAGTGCCAATTTTCAACTTTCGCCGTGAAGAAGTTTCACCCAAGGAAAGCAGGTCGTTTGCTGCTTACTCAGTAGATGACAGGCTGGTAAAGCAAAATCCCTACCCTGTTGTGTTTTTCCAACCATTAGTGACCAGTCCTCTGTTTGCCCCTTTTGCTTAAAATGAACTCTTCAGTGGAATTCTAAAGTTCTGATTTCTAACTTTTGTTTACAACATGCATGCTTAAGAGCTCGTGCATGCTTAAGAGCCTAAACTCTTATCCTGGAACTGCCATTTATTAGTTAGTTATATGGCCTTGGCCAAATCAGTCTGTATCTAGGCTACTTTATCTGTCAAAGGAAAGTAAGAATAGCGCCCACTTCACAATTATTATGAAGAGCAAATGAATTCCTGCTTAGGATTGTGCCTTGAACAAAGTAAGCAGTCAATAATTTCAGCTGTTTTGGAATGAAAATGACAACCCAGAAATAAACCTTCCCATGTATGGTTAGCTGATCATCAGGAAGTGTGCCAAGACCATTCAATGAGAAAAAAATATTCTTCAACAAATGGAGGACAACTGGATATCCAAATGCAAAAAAATACAGTTGGCCCCTTACCTCACACCATATATAAAAATTAATTACAAATGGATCAAAAACCTAAACGTATAAGTTAAAACTAAAGCTTTTCAAAGAAATTGTAGGTGTAAATCTTATGACCTTGAATTACATGATCGATTCTGAGATAAGACACCAAAAGCATAAACAACAAAAGAAAAATAAATTGGGCATTATCAAAGTTTAAAACTTTTTGTTTCAAGTATACCATAAATAAGTAAAATGACAAACCACTGGAAGGGAGGGAAATTTTATAAATTATATCTCTGATAAGTGACTTGTGTCTTGGCCATAGAAAGAATTATTGACATTCAAAAATAAGGCCCCCGGGCTTGGTGGCTCAGCCTGTAGTCCCAGTACTTTGGGAGGCCTAGGCGAGTGGATCATCTGAGTTCGCGGGTCCAAGACCAGCTCAGGCAACTTGATGAGACCTCGTCTGTGCAATAAAATAAAAAATAGCTGGGTGTGGTAAGTACACGTCTGTAGTTCTGGCTACTTGGAAGGCTGAGGCGGAAAGATTACTGGAGCCCAGCAGGTCGGTTGACGCTGGGGTGACCGTTAGCATGCCACTGCACCCCAGCCTGGGCGACAGAGTGAGACTCCAACTCAAAAAATAATAATAAATTCAAAAAAGCCAGGCTCAGTGGCTCAGCCTGTAAATCCCGCGCCTTGGGAGGCTGAGGTGAGTGGATGGCCTGAGCCCGCGGGTTCGAGACCCACCTGAGCAACTTGGTGAGACCTCATCTTTACAATAAGTCAAAAAAAAAAAAAAATTAGCCGGGCGTGGTAGCACGCGCCTGTAGTTCCAGCTACTTGGAAGGCTGAGGCGGAAGAATCGCCAGAGCCCAGCAGGTTGAGGCTGCAGTGACTGGGAGTGGCCACTGCACTCCAGTCTGAGCGATAGTGAGACTCAAACTCAAAAAAAAAAAAAAGAATTTAATGTTTAATGGAGCTTATTCAAATCAATGGAGGAAGAAAAAATACAAATCGTGGACACTTAACTATACATTTGAATCTTGTAACTAAATTAATACATCTGGAATTCAAGCCTTTATTGTTAGAAATAGAACCTTAATAAGAGTAGCTACAATATAGTTGGGGAATGGTGAGATAATGTCTTTGTATGGAATCCAAACTAGCTGCGCTCGGTGGCTCAGTCTGTAATCCCGTGCCTTTGGGAGGCTGAGGTGAGTGGATAGCCTGAGCCTGCAGGTTTGAGACCCACTTGGACAACTTAGTGAGACCTCATCTCTACAAAAATCAAAAATTAGCCAGGCGTGGTAGTGCACGCCTGTAGTTCCAGCTACTTGGAAAGTTGAGGGGGAAGGATAGCCGGAGGCCAGCAGGTTGAGGCTGAGGTGGCCGGGAGCGTGCCACTGCACTCCAGCCCGGGCAGCAGAGTGAGACTTCTACTCAAAAAAAAAAAATTTACATATATATATTTCTGGGCTGGGCACGGTGGCTCACACCTATAATCTCAGCATTTTGGGAGGCCAAGGTGAAAAGACTGCCTGAGCCCATGGGTTCGAGACCAGCCTGGGCAACTCGGCGAGACCTCATCTCTACAATAAATCAAAAAATTAGCCGGGTGTGGTGGTGCCTGTAGTTCCAGCTACTTGGAAAGTTGAGGGGGAAGGATAGCCGGAGCCCAGCAGGTTGAGGCTGAGGTGGCCGGGAGCGTGCCACTGCACTCCAGCCCGGGCAGCAGAGTGAGACTTCTACTCAAAAAAAAAAAATTTACATATATATATTTCTGGGCTGGGCACGGTGGCTCACACCTATAATCTCAGCATTTTGGGAGGCCAAGGTGAAAAGACTGCCTGAGCCCATGGGTTCGAGACCAGCCTGGGCAACTCGGCGAGACCTCATCTCTACAATAAATCAAAAAATTAGCCGGGTGTGGTGGTGCCTGTAGTTCCAGCTACTTGGAAAGTTGAGGGGGAAGGATAGCCGGAGCCCAGCAGGTTGAGGCTGAGGTGGCCGGGAGCGTGCCACTGCACTCCAGCCCGGGCAGCAGAGTGAGACTTCTACTCAAAAAAAAAAAATTTACATATATATATTTCTGGGCTGGGCACGGTGGCTCACACCTATAATCTCAGCATTTTGGGAGGCCAAGGTGAAAAGACTGCCTGAGCCCATGGGTTCGAGACCAGCCTGGGCAACTCGGCGAGACCTCATCTCTACAATAAATCAAAAAATTAGCCGGGTGTGGTGGTGCCTGTAGTTCCAGCTACTTGGAAAGTTGAGGGGGAAGGATAGCCGGAGCCCAGCAGGTTGAGGCTGAGGTGGCCGGGAGCGTGCCACTGCACTCCAGCCCGGGCAGCAGAGTGAGACTTCTACTCAAAAAAAAAAAATTTACATATATATATTTCTGGGCTGGGCACGGTGGCTCACACCTATAATCTCAGCATTTTGGGAGGCCAAGGTGAAAAGACTGCCTGAGCCCATGGGTTCGAGACCAGCCTGGGCAACTCGGCGAGACCTCATCTCTACAATAAATCAAAAAATTAACCGGGTGTGGTAGAGCGCCCCTGTAGTTCCAGCTACTTGGAAGGCTGAGGCGGAAGGATCGCCGGAGCCCAGCAGGTCGAGGCTGCAGTGGTTGGGAGTGGCCACTGCACTCCAGTCTGGGCGACAGAGTGAGACTCCAACTCAAAAAATAAAAATAAAAAATAAAATAAATAAATAAATTCAAAAATAAAAAGACAACCCAAGTAAAAAAAATCTTGAATAGGAATTTCTCTAAAGAGAAATAGAAATAGCCAAAAAGCACCTGAAAAGATGCTCAATAATGCTAGTCTTCATGGAAATGAAAATTAAAACCAAAATGAGATGTCACTTGACACTAGAATGGCTATAATAAAAAAGATGGAAAATAACATGTGTAGGGGAGAAGATAGAAAAATTTAAACTCTCTTACACCATTGATGGTAACTTAAAATTATGTAGACACTGTGAAAATTGGTCTAGCAGTTCCTCAAAAATTTATACATAGAGTTAGTACATGATCCAGCAACCCGCTTCAAAGTATATACCCAAGTGAAGTGGAAAAAATGCCCATACAAAAAGTTATACACAAATGTTTATAGCAACATTATTCATAATAACTAAAATGGAAAAATAATCCTATTGGTCATAAACATATTAGTGAATGAATAAAAAGCAGTACATTCATATAATGGAATACTATTCAGCAACAAAAAGGAGTGAAATATTGATACATACTACAATACAGCTGCACCTTGAAAAAAATTATGCTAAATGAAAGTAACCATTCATAAACTACTACATATTATCTAATTTCATTTGCAAAAGACCACATACTACATTATTGCATTTCAATATGATTCTATTTCATATTTTATGAAATGTCCAGAATAGGCAAATCCATAGAAAGTAGATTAGTTAGCAAAAGATGGACCTAACCATGCTGCCCATCAAAAGAGAACTAGATTTTTTAAATGTGGTACAAATAAGCAGCCATAAAGAAGGAAAAAATTATGAACCTCGCAGCATCTTGGATGGACTTAGAAGCTATAATACTGAGTGATCCAGCACAGAAACAAAGACTTGAGTGTCACATTTTCTCACTCATAAGCAGACCTTCAACAATTATGGCAATACTATAAGAAAGGGATTGACAGTAGTGGGAAACTGCCCCCGGGATGGGGGGCGGGTGGAGGACACACCTCATCAGCAAGGGTACCTGCATAATGAACAATTGTATGCCTAACCCTGAATTGTACCCCACATCTTTAAAATTAAAAATTTTTTTAAAAAGTAGATTAGTGGTTGACTAGGTCTTGGCAGCTAATGAGGAATTGGCTAAGGAGTTGCAGGTTTTTGGAGTGTAATGAAAATGTTCTAAAATTGATTTTGTTCATGGTGGCACAACTCTATGAATATACTAAAAGGTAATGAATAGTATATATAGGTAAATGATAGATATGTTAAAGTTGTTAAAACATTTTTAAAAAATAAATTCTTGGCTGCATGGTGGCTCATGCCTGTAATCCCGAAACTTTGGGGGACCAAGGCAAGAGAATCACTTGAATCCAGCAGTTTGGGACCAGCCTGGGCAACATAGTGAGACTTAGTCTCTACAAAAAAATCAAAACATTATACAGGTGTAGTGGTGCATGCCTGTAGTCCCAGCTACTAGGGAGGCTGAGGCAGAAAG